TTACGTCTAATTACGTCCAATTCCGCCTACTTGCGTCTCCGAAATACTCCAATTCCAGTTATTAGTCGTTAGTCGGGTTATCGTCTTTTTTATAGTTTTCTACCGTCGACGTCACACACTTTATATTCGAAAACTGCGCAAACGACGACGGCGTTGCAATTGTTATTGTCGCTATCGTCGACTCCTTAGGATTCATAATACACACCTATTACTTACCTACGTACGTATATAGTAGTAAGTAACGAGTACCTACCTACCTACTTACGTACCTACACGCCACCACCACGATTAGCGGTACGATCGCGTGAAACGTCGTCGTTACACCGTTGCTGTTACCAACGTTTTCGTCGTCGCCAGTATCACAGTTGCTACTACAGTTGCAATCATTACCGCTACTACCAGCAGCGTCGTCATTACATTATTATATTTTTTACAAATAAAGAATATCCTCGGAAACGAGGTAAAACAAACTTGAAACGCTTTGCGTTATTAAGCGTCATCGACGATACATCTCTACGTAGCTAGCAGATACGCGTGTACAATGCGCGCGGCGAGAAGCTCCTCGCGAACTGAATTTCTCGATGTACATTTGTTCCGGTGTTATTTCGTTTCCTTCCACAAACTTCGAAATCCTGGTGCTTTCAGCCGAGAGAAAATTCACGAATTAACGCAGTCGATGAGAATTCGTCGGCGATGCTCCTCGAGACGAACCTCGGAAATCTCGCGAGACACGGTCGCGATCGGAACAACTTGAAATTCAAACCGACGAGGATACCCACGGAATCGCCAGTGCCCGTTGTCGGTCTGATCACCGAGAATCTTCTAGTACCGATCGCAAAGACTATCTCCCCGAAGAAAACTCGGTACGTTCGATCGAGTTTCTCCCAACGACGAGTTCGAACGATCGTAACGTGGAAACGCAACGACGAAGCGACGGTACCGCTTCTGGAAAGACCTCTCCGACATCCGGTAAAAATATACACGAACACGCGCCGTTGCGTGTACTCGGATTTTTCTGCCGTCGCTTGATCGCCTATCGACCAGGAATTTCAACGAATCACCGATCAACCACACTCTTTCAGGGCAAACTCTACAATCGTACCAACAAACGAATCCCGGAAGAGGAAAATCGGACGAAACCATTACATTTTCCCTCTGGTACTTTTACTCTACGTTTACCTCGCATCGCGTCTCCGAATTCCGACAATTGTTCGCTACGCGGAACCTTCGCCGATCTCGATCAGTGGAACGGACGTTCCAACGCGTCTGAAACGCAGCTGGAAAGAGCTTTGCCGAACACAAGTGGGCAACAGTCGGTCGGCTATCCGCAGAAAATCGGTTGGTTATCCACGGATACGCCAACGGCGGTATTCGACGGAGAGATACGCTCGCCGAAATCCGACCCGTTCAACGTACCCGTTGCGTCCGCCATTGCAACCGTGTCGACTTCTACCGTATTTCAGACGCGTTCAACGGCACCCCCGAGACAGTGGGAGACGGCAGAGTCCAACGACGACGGTCGAACCGAAAGGCAGGCTTCGACGGACGTCGGCCAACCTCGACTCCATCTTCCAGAGATCGAGAAATTTCTCGAACGTTGCAATGGATCCGACGCATCGGAAACGAAATCCGATCGTTCGATTCTCCTCCATTTCGAACGACCTCGCGCGCAACTAGAACACTCGAAGAAGAACCCTTGTCGAGCGAAATATTCCTGGCAGGTACTCGGGAAAAGTTCTCAAACGTCGCGAACGCTTCTCGAAAGTTTACTCGAAGAAACGACCGTCGACGGGCCATCCGCTTACCGTTGCTCGATCAAATACTCTTGGCAAATCATCGGCACCGCTACGCAAACTACGAAACACGACCTCGTCGGTTCCCAGTCGAAATCTCTTGTTCCCCGTTTGCCCGTTCAATCGAACGCGATGCGACAGTTCACCGAATCGTCCAGCAAACTTTCACCGTCAGCGATTCGACGAAATCCAAAGAGATTATTGCTGCTGAACAATCAGAGTACACAGACGTCCGCTCCGAAAGAAACGCAAACGGACTTTATCGAGATTTACACGAAACCACCTTAAGCGTATTCGAGTCCGAGCGTTTCTCAGAGTTCTTTTCCAGGACAATCTGAAAAGAGACGAAATAATAAAGAAACTGGCTACACCGGGATACATCGACGGATCATCTGGCCGTGAATCGTGAAATTTATTAAACGTTTATTAGCCTGTTTCTTTCGTTTGCTCCCGTCTTGTGCCGAACGTTCCAACTTCTCTATCGACGCTTCTCTCTCTGAAACGAAAAGCCTTTTACTTTTAGCTCAAAAATCGTTTATTTCCCTGTACACTGGACTCGCTCGCGCTGCAGATTTTCATTCGTTCGGCCGATTTACGCCGTATTAGGTTACGACGAATAACCGAGTAACGACCATACCGTACGCTACGTCGAAGAAGAAGGTCGGTTCGCGCGCTTCCGGTTGTCGAGTAACAGGGACTTAAAAAACGCATAAACGTCGTCGGCGCTGACACGCCTATCGACCACCGATTAAAATCATCTTATTCTAAAGGGCGTAGGTTATCCGGAACATCCTCTACACCCGCAATGAATGCACTCCACTATTCTACCTTCTTCCAATTTCCCTTTGGGAACTCTACAAATACAATTTGTTCCGAAATTAGTGTCTCTGGTTTGTATACACCGTAAGCAGCATAAATTTTCGTATCCCACTTTCTTCCACTTGGCTATCAGATTTTTGTCCGCTATATTCTCGTTCAGACAATAATCGTACAGTTCTGGAAAAGAAAGAAGAAGCCATAGTCGATTCCCTCGGAATAGTAGTAGGAATAGAATTTCAACTCGACTTACTTACCACGGCTTATGGCTTTTCGTCTATAGTATAAATCGTAAATGTAACGCGACTTTTGATGATGGATCTTAAAAATTGGCCACAGTGATTCTTGTTTACGCTTGCCTTCGTGAGGTTCCGTTTCGGCTACAATTCAACCACCGAACAATTAAACGATGGTAACATCGATTCAAAACCAAATCCATTGCTAACATGTATCGCACACAAGGAATTATGTTTGTCGTAAACATAACCTACGTACACTGTGTCATGGTTACCTTCTCGCATTTTTTGTTCCAGTTCTTCCAAAGTCGGTTCTATCAACTCCCAACCATCCGGCGGGGGTTTTTTACTTCGCCGCACTTTTGGCATATTCCGAATTCGTCGCGAACGATTCGTTGGCCACGTTAGAACGAAACGCACCGTCGAAAACAACCCCTCGACACCAACAGAGTCGAACAGCAACGCGAGTGGCAAGCTACAGTACCCTGCATACTATGTAGGATCGTAGTATGCGTCTACGCGTGTACATATATAGCGCGTAGTAAGGATAGTATAGTACCGACCGTTGTTGGAAAAATGACTAGCGACGGCATAGTTCCGCTGGCCGCGTTGCGTGACGGCCAATCGTACGGTAAACTCGAAAACACACTAGATTCCGACCACTCGGACCCGCGTTTCTTCCGCAACGTTTCCCTGGTAACATTTCGGTAGCGGTTTCAGTCGCGTGTTAGTTGCGATTAACAGGTGCAGTTATCGCCGATTTTCCAATGAGTTTGTCGTTTTCCGAAACAAGTCTACAACTAATCGTCGAGGGAAAGATGCGAAGATAGACGTAGTCGACGCTGGTGCCATCCGGCGGGAACATTTCCCACCATTTCGGTACAAGTTTGAACGTTCTCGGAACAGGTGGCGCCAGAATCAACCGCTTCCCCCCCTTTCCTTGTCCATTTCGTCGGCCTCCTAGAAAGCAACGAAACCATCCGAAATTCGCTAATAACGTATTAATCGCAACTAAAGTGCGACTGAAACAGACACTGGAATGTCGCCAGACTAATTTCCAGACTAATTTCCAGTCTAATTTCCAGTCTAATTTCTTCGATTATAAAGTTTCACCAATTCTGCCTATGAAGTGACAAACCGAAAGATTTCATTGGCAGCTGTCACTGAAATTCTAGGTTATCTCGAGACACGGTCTCGGAAAATCATTGAGAAAATCGGCAAAATCCTATCGAAAGCGACGATCGTCCGCAATCCCTAATCGTAAATGTTGACGCGTCATTCGCGAGAGTGAAATCTTCGTACATCGACCATACATCTTTCGCTTGTCTCGTGAAATACGACGTAAACTTGCGTGTATACCGCGATTTCGTATGATCGACAGCTCTGAAAATTCACTCGGAAGAAGGCGGGAATGGAGAAAAAAATGTAGAAACAACGAGAAATCTGTGAAATGGAATATTATTTGAGAAAATGTCGAAAAAAAGACGCGAGGCAGGATTATCGGGTAGGTATCCCAAGGTAGATTACTTTGAAAGAACCGTTGCGTGTTTCTGCATTCTCCTAATGCTGCCACTCGTTATCAACGTTCGGCCAACCATATGTCTGAAGTACAGTCACCTCCGGGGTATCTGGAAGATAAACGAGACGATTGGGCACACTTGGAAATAGCGCGACGTTCGAGATATCGTCGAAGAGAAGACGCTCACCGCATCTCGTGTGCGAGTAGTATGTCGTTCTTATCCTCTCCAAAGTCTATCAAAAACTGTTCGTCGAGTTTCAAACCTCCGTTTTTCAGATCCACGTCCAACTTGACCATCACCGAACCGTTCCTAACGCATGGAAATATTCGTATAGAAATGTTGCGTATCTCTCGGCCGACAAAAGACTATGACTACGCGAATACGACGAGGCGTATCGTACTTGACGTGATCGGGATAAAATTGTTGGTCCCAGGGTTTGAAAATGGAAGTGGTCACGTATAAACGTGTCCCATCCAGGCTCAGCTGAAGCATCTGCGGCGATCCGTAGAATCGGCGGCCTTTTATGTAAACCGGGCTCGGTTGAGCAGTCAACTCGTCGTCGCGAACCACGCGAATCTTCGAGTCGGTCAAAATCGACCCACCGAGAAAGATTTGGCCCGTTAACTTTGGATTCTTCGTGTCGGAGATGTCGTACTGTCTGACGTCTCCGTGGAGCCAATTCGAGAGATAGAGATACTTGTCGTCGAGGCTGAGTAGAATGTCCGTAATCATACCTAAACATCGGAGAATAGCGGAGGAGAAGCTGCTCGGTTGTATCGTGACGCGATATACTCGTGCAACTATACGCACCTGGCATTTGCGGAGCGACCCAACCGTCGACTTCCTTCGGAGGTATTTGAATGACCTTTTCGGCGAACCAGTCGCCCTCCGGCGTTTTGTCGAATCTATAAACGTTCGACGTTACCGCGCATCCGACGAATCCCTCGCTGGATTTCGGATCGTGCAGAAACCTTACTTCCAGAGGAGCGATTCCATCTTCGGCCAAGTCGATCACCTGCTTCAGCTTCCCTTCGCTCCAGGAATAAAAGTTCAAACTTCTACCGTAGATGGCTGCGAAAAGCGAAGTAGCGAGATAGGGAGCGAGCGCGGCTGAACGTCGAAGGGAACGGGCACTCACCGGGATCGGAGCTATCGTTAACCGCGTAGCCTCGTTTAAACACCTTGGGTACACCCCATTCGGTGGCGACGAGCACGTCGTGATACGGCTGGTACCAAAAGTCGTAACCGAACGCTGCCTTCCTCTCTCCCGTGGTCCATACGCGTTTCGTCCGAAACGTCTCGGCGTCGATGCAAAGGAATTCGCCTTGCGCCTCGCCGTTCGGCTTGCCCATCGCGGAAACGATGATTTCTCCCGTTGGCGCGCAATGGCTGGTGTGCAAAGTCGACACTCCGTGCTCGTGCACCTCTGTCGGCGACAATACCTTATCGGAGAGAATAGAATCTGTAGAGTAGACTCGTCGAAGGGAATAGCAGACGTGGACACTCGACTGCGCGAACCTTTTTGATAGACGGTGCTCGTTCGTTGCTCGTGTCGACAAAGTAAACGCGGTCGGACATCAGGCACGGTAGCACCAGAGTGTTCCGTTTGCGGGGCTCGCCGTGACAACTGCTGCAAACGTTCCACCCGGAATGGTGCAATTCGTCCCCGACGTAGGGCATCCGCAATTTATGAATGATCTGCGGAATGAATCATCGGAATCGTAAATCGGAATCGTAAATCGGAATCGTTCGAGTAGTCCGAGCACTAGTCTTTCCTCCATCGTTCTCCTTCTCGTACCTTGCAGTAAGTGGCGCTCGTTGGATCCACGTCGACCGTGCAAAGTACGTCCGATTTCTCGGGGTCGGTGTGCACGCAAACAACGTAGATCAATTTCTCTCGCGGACCCACGGCCATCGCAGTTTTCGGTGACTCGTAGCCGGGTCCGGCGCAATTCGAACACCCTGAAATCATTCGGAGAATCGTACCTGCCTTGTCCAATTGAATCGAGTTAGACTCGAGCGAGCATACCTTTATTTTCCATGGTCGAGATCGATCGTCGTCGAATACGAACGCAGTCTGCCAGAATCGCAGCGAGAACGAAAGGAGAGTACTTTGACAAACGATCCGCTCGAACCGACTAATGTGCCGTCCAATAAGAGTACAACTTGCGGCAATCGAGTCTCGCCTGTTTACAGCGGAATCGTACGTTTTGGGTGGGAGGAACTCGCGAGTCGCTTATCTTACACGGCACACGTATCGTACGTGTCGCGAACATGTTTGATATTTTCGACAAACAACATTTTAACAACAGGATACGGTGAATCTTCTCTATCGGCGAACAATCGCGATTTTTTCCTCTTTTTCGCTGGTTCTCGGAATTATTTGTTTCGACCGTTTACCGTTTCCCGTTTCCCGTTTCCCGTTTCCCGTTTCCCGTTTCCCGTTTCCCGTTTCCCGTTTCGTCTTGCAACGATTCAACGAACGTTAGTGGAAGCCGTCGCGCGACGATTCCTCGTTGTCCTCGGTGTTGTTCTTCCCTTGCCCTGCCGTTCCGTCTCGCTTTCCGGCAAGTATCGCGCAAAGCAACAGACTCTCGCGATGCAATCCAATCAACTGGGCCAAACGATTCTTCGCCAGATTCGTTTGCGTCGTTATGCCGTCGTATCCTGCGTCGAGTCTGTCCAATTCGCTGCTAATGTTACTCAACATTTCCAGCAAGACCTCGTCCCTTTTGTGTATTTCGGGGCTGTATCTGCTCGATGCCAGCAACGTTATTATTCCGACAGTCGTAAGAATCGTCACTCCCAAAAGACTCTTTTGACACAACGTCATTCTATCGAAGAGATTTCGCGGTTTTAATCCTACCCTTTGACCCGTGTAACGTTCTACGCGAGTCGCGAATTTATCGGTGATTCCATACCCTTTCCCGCTTTCGTTATCACGGACGAAAGATTAATAACCCGAAATCCTTTTCTCGCTCGCGATCGTGCAAACAGGAATTAATGCACGCGCGATGTCATAGTGCCGGTTCTATTTTTTCTCTAAATTTTATTCTATTCGTAAATTATCATTAACGAGATCGTGTTTACTTTGACTCGTCGAGTTACTTTTCGAACCGTGAGCAACGAGACACCCGAACCAGCAGAGATATCGCTTGCGTTGCATTCTTCTTCCGCGTTTTACACTGGACTTGTTCCAGTGGCGAGCCAGTATTTTCAACGTTGATGTCCCTCGCTTAGTTCTCTCGACAGTCTCTTTTCGTTCTTTTTCTGGCACAAACGCCCACCTTTTTTTATCTATTATTAAATGCGCGAGCTCGAGCGCGAGAGAAAGTTTCGTCGCGACGCCCGTTTTTCACGATCCTTACCCTCGACTCCCATTTTCGTACGCGTACACGCGAGCATCTTTTACGAATCTCTCCTCCGATTGTTCTCGACGAACTCGTTACGCCTCGAAACGAGGCACCTGTACGGAACAGTTTCGGTGGAGAATCGACACAATGCGATCATGGTTCGCTCTGTGTCGAATGGACATCGGTAGTTGCTAGTTGCAGGCAATTTCAAACTCGTCGGAATCAACCGAGGAAATAAGAGGACATTCGACGACGGAATTTTCTTGGCAACACGGAGACGTTACCGATGGTATAGTGGTTTTGTCGCGTGGCAAATTGATTCGTGCTTCTGTACGAGTCACCGATTCATTGTCAGTCAAAAGCTTCGAGAGCGGTCGAGAGCGGTCGAGAGCGGTCGAGAGCGACCGAGAACGATCGAGAGACAGAGAGAAACGACGGATGTGAAGAAAAAAAGAGGATGGGGCAGCTGAAGGTTAAAACGGGAATGAATGTAACTGCATACATACATACGTATACAAGTATCTAATACTTACTGTGCGCTGCGTGGCTGCAAGAGAAAAGAAGAGAAGAGAGGCCTAGCGAATAGAAGCATAGGGGAGCTGTGTCGATGAAAAGCGAGCCAGAATAAGAGGATGGCGCGAAGCGGCATGCGTGAAATCGTATATTTCGCAATGCGAATCCGCATATTCCGACACTTGTATTATATAATCAGACGGTTAGATATACCAGTAGATAGCTGTTTACTCGATTCACCGATATCAGACATATGCGAGTATGTACCCGTGTCGATTGGTAAATGCCTCGGTCGTCGATATTACAAATAGTACATGTTTTCCCAATTGGCGAAGTCGAGTAACCGTTGCGTTTCTAATTACGTTCAACGACGTCGCGTCCTTGCCGACGGAATCGATCGAAAATCACAGACGTAAGAAGAGTGTCGTGAAAATAATGGTAATCGGGGAAAACGATCGATCCACCGGTTCGATTCGAAAACGAAGGAAATGCAGCCAACAAGCAAGCGATAGAACGTAATTGTCGCGAGACGCGAACGAAGAGGGCGAAGAGGGTGAAGAGGACGAAGAGGGCGAAGAGGGCGAAGAGGCCGAAGAGGCCAAAGAGGCCAAAGAGGCCAAAGAGGAGAGCCGTTCGTCCCGAGAATTCGCGGAGGAGAGAGGAAAATTCGGAGGAGGAGGTTGGTTCGTGGAGCATCGGCGAAGGGGAGCCTCCCAGACGTCGTCTTTCCAAGACGTTAAGAGCAAAGCGTAATCTCCGTTCCAGTCTACGTTTATCCTCGCTTTCAAGGTCAGAACCGCTGGAGTCTCCGGATACACGGCTCGAGGTAGACAAGTTTTCGCGTGGGAGATCGACATTGGTCGCGTAGCGCGTTTCGCTCGCAGAATCCGAAGATAGAGATTCGAGTTTGGCTTGTTCGTCGCGTTCCCGCTGAAACGAATGTTCCAGTGGCCGAACGCGTTCGAACGTATCGATGTTTCCCGGTAAGTGCCGATTCCCGTGACCGCGCACAACCGCGTCGAACAGGCAGGGTCGGCGTAATAAATCCACCGTGCCGTCCACCGTGCCGTCCAACGCGCCGTCCAACGCGCCGATTCCCCGGAATAAATCCGAAAAGCTCTTCTAGCCCAGAAACCGCCGTCGACGCTTTCGCACCTGATACTCAGCCAGAGACCGTCGATCACCGCTGGAAGCGACGGAGCTTGATGAAACAGAGGTGGACTGTACTCGGTAGCGCGCACCACGTTCCCGCAGATTGGACACGAGAGAAGCTGAAACACGCGTAGATTCGTAACGCGCGCGCGACACGCAACGCGACGCTAATGATTACGGCTAATCTAGAATATTAATTACCGTGTCGGCGCGCAGCAACGCCACGGAGTGCAACCGGCTCGGTGTTTGCGTACGGGCTTGCGGGAGATGCCCGTTCCCAGGAGGTACGCCGAGCAACAATTCCACTTTCGAGCGTCTCTTCTCGACTCGGAGCAACCTCAGTTCCGTAAACTCGATGCCCAGCGTGTCCAAACAGTCGAACCCGTCCCGATTCCTGAGCCGCCGCAAACGGCTTTCGAACGAATTCGAGTTTGCGCTCGACGGAACGTCGACGGGTCGCTCGTAGATCGGTTCGGCCCAAAACGCTCGCCATTTTCTCTCGACGATGCCGTTGCCATTGCGCTCGCTGTCGCTGCTATATCTGTTGCCGTTGCCGTTGCCGTTGCCGTTGCCGTTGCCGTTGCCGTTACCGCGGCAATTCGCTGCGATCTTGCGGCCAAATTTACGAGCGATCTACCGGTTCAAACAGGAAAACGGAAATGGAGCTATTCGAGTATTTAGGTGGGTGGAACGCGGCGAGCAACGAAACGATAGTCTTCTACCTGTCTGTTGAACGGTATCAAATGAACCGAATCCAATCGAACGTTTGCTTCCGTAGCGCCGGGAATTTTCAGAGACGGCGACGAGAGTTGGATGAAACCGCGCGCCACCACTCCATACGTTGCGATGCTGCACGACTCTTCCGCGTAATGATACCGCACCAACAGAAACGTACCGTTTCCGAAGAAACTATATTTTCTTATCACGTGTTCGGCTCCTGCGCGCGTTTCGCATCTAAACAAACAATCGGTCGAGTGTTCGGCTCATCCGAGTTACCGAGGAATTACGCGTGGTCGGTGTACTCACTGTTGCGACAACCAGACCGAATGCAATCTAGACGGCGAATCGTCCGCTATCGTTTCTCCGTCTTCGGAAGCGATCTTCCCTATCATTACGTCGCATCGGTCCTCCTCCTCTCTTTCCGAGATTAGAACGATTGCGTCGGCGAAATCTGTACGCGAAAAGAAACACCACTGTCGTTAGATATTTCACCGTCTACCCGTTCGCTAATTACCATCGTCGTTATTCTATCCGTCGCTCGACATTTTCTTCCGTTTCAAACATCGAAAGCCAACGCGGTTAACGATAAGCTAAAAACCCGGCAACATGAAAGAGAAATAGAAACGTGTCTCCTTGCGGTATCGTCGTTTTCTCACCGATTCTTCGATGCCGCGATTCGTATGCGGCTGGGAACGGACGAGAAAAACGCCAAGCTGCGTGAAGCTATGCGCTAGGCGGAGCACCGCGACCAAATACCTCTCTACTCGCACAGTAGTATATACTACTCACGCCTATTTCTCCGAGTATCTTTATTTCCTTCTACTCTAATATTTTATTCCATCTCGTTCCTATCGGCGAATTCTCCCAAGAAAATCTGCCTCGAGTCGCTTACCCACAAATCGACAAAGAACAAAAACAACGATCAACGAGAACGCGTTCAACATTTTCTCTCGGCAATCGGAAATAATCGGAATCTTCTCCGCCACACTATATCTTGCTGGAGATGAAACGCGAATCTTCTTCTCTTCGAATGTTATTCGAATTGTTCCGAAACTCCTCCCCGACAAATTCAACTTCCACCGAAGCCACCCCAACGCGGTATATAAGTATGCGTATCCCTTCCCTCTCTTTCGGCTCTCTCACCTCGAACAATGGTGGACGCAATGACGCGTTTAGCATGCACGATGCACGGACCATTACTCGTTTTGCATATTTCTCTTCTTTTCCTTTCTTCTCCGAACGAAAATTCTCATTCGCATCCCGATTTCCTTCCATTCGAACCGATATATGCCAACAATATTTCCACCGTTCGAACATGTAAAACGAAACGAAACATTCTTGGAAACTCTTTTCGCGCTACGTACATTCGTCAGCGGTTTCTCTAATTTCCGAAATTAGTTATTATTAGTTTACATACTTACACATTTTTTCCTTTTAGCGCGCACATTTCTACGTAGCTGTACATATGTAAATGTAAATGCAAATTTAACTGTAAATCAAAATGTAAATGTAAATACGTACACCCAAAGTACGTTAGAAGGAAACCTCGGTTCCGCTCAACTTTTCATTCGGAGCATACATCATGATATATACACGAGTACAATGACGCTTCGAACGATGCTTTATCTAATATTTTATCGTTCCTTCGATTCTGCCGAACGTTTCAACATTTCATATCAAAATCGTGATTATATGTGATTCTTTCATGCGGAGAACAAACTCTTCGGGAAAATCTATAGCGCCATCTACGAACAAACTTTCGAGCTAATAGAGTGCGTACTTTCCGTCTACTGTTCTGCAATACCGATACTTTCAAAAATTCCCCACTGCATTCACGAACAAATTTGACCGTCTCTGAAAATTACATTGCTGTTGAATTTCTGTTATTGAAGCTTTATTATTAGCTCCATAGATGATATATATATATGATGATGATATATATATATATATATATATAATTTTGCAACTGCAAAGACGTTACTAGTGACACTCCCCTCGCTTATTCGAATCGTTGAGTAGAGCTAGTGGGGGAACGCTGTTTCGAGTTACTAGCGTAAGGGGAGTACCAAATAGACACCTCTAACCGAAACAAAACAGATGATTTGTTCGCGCGATACGCTCTACGAGAGCACGTTTTCACCTGTTCGGATAGCTCCTCTTTCTATAGTTCGCTGGTTCTTCGTTTCAACGTAAACACGTTTGCACAACATTAGAGACTGTCGAGGAGAAATACAGAAAAGGGATTCGTAAAAGACATGTTTGAATTGGTAAAACAGGCGATGATTATCGACAAAGTTGATATCGCTTTTCCTCTGATAAAATGATAAAATCGTAAAATAGCAACACGTGCAGTATAAACAGAGTCTTAAAACGCGTTTAAAATGGCTAAACTTTATTCGTATTACACATTATGTCCGCTCATCGATCAACAAAATTTACTAGGCGTTGAACGAGATTCGGAAAGCGGATGTGCAATTGTCACATTAGGAAGGAATATTGTTATTCGATACAAGGTAATTCTCCATATTATTTTCTCATTGTTCTATACCGAAATAGTAATATTTTTGGAAAATATTATTTCATCTGCAGCTACAGGATCCAAAGCAATTGAACAGTTGGACGAGCAAAGATCGGTTAACGTCGCAAGTTATATACGATGAAACAACGTGTCGTTACGCGGCGATATTTAACGAAAGAAAGTTACGTCTGTGGTCGGAGAACGAAACAGATTTGAATCAAATCAAAGGTTACAAATTTCAGTCTCCTTTACATACCATTCTTACGTTCGAAACTTCTCCTCCAGTCTTGGTACGCAAAGATGGAGCTACCGCTTTATTGGAACGGGCCATACAAAACAGGAAGACTTGGTCCAAAGAAGGGATATTGCAAACCGACGAAAAGATTCTCGATTGCCGATTAGTTTGTGTAGGCAACAAAGTCAATCTGTGCCTATTAACCGAACTCAAAGGAATTTATGCTTGCTTTGTAGTCAAACTGAACGATCAAACCTATTCCAAGGAAACCGATCGTGCGAGGAGAATGGAACTCAAACGAAGATCGGAAGAGTTGGTCGGTTATACGATTCTTCAAACAAAGAATAAGGCGTATCTCTTGACGCTTTGTAAGTCGATAGTTATTATATTCCTCTCTAGGTATATATATATCAAATGTCTACGATGGTTAATTAGATAATTACTTTTATAAATGATTCGTGTTTAATCAGGGTCCCATGGTAGACTGTACAGTCATTCTTTAATAGAACCCAACAGCGAAGCTAGTTTTAACACGCTGATCGGCATTATCAATAATATAGATACTAAACATCCAGTCGTCATGACGCCGTTAAACGAAGCAACGGTAGCAATTTATGGGGCTGATGCTTCCGAAGAAGGAGCTGTATTAATGATATACAATGTTCAATTCAAGTTGGTACAGGACGTGCAAAAGTTGAAATTGTACACAAAAGATGCAAAATTGTGGAAAATCGAGGACAAGTTACTACTAGCTGCTAATAGACATTTAGCGATTGCACCGTATCATCTAGCACCTCAAAAGATAGCAACTTTACTTGGTTCATCTTTGCGTTTCAAAACTAACGACGAAACCGAACAGGACGACGATATCATTGTAATTCAGGAGTCGACGTTAGCCGAGTGGGAGAAGAACGAACCAATTATCGCTAAACACTCGACTGAAAAGTCACCTATCAAACTTTCGAAACAGATATCATCTTATATAAATGAAGGATTGAGCGACGCGGCGATACAACAAATATTGATTCCGCAATTGATCGAATCGAAAGATGTCAGAACAATTATATGGTGTTTAGATAGTTTCAAAGACTTACCGGAGAAATTGTTAATCGAGCTTTTGATCTTTTCTCTTCGGAGTCCTGACGGAATATTTCTACCAATGCAAAATGGTACAATCGATCATCTCCCACAGACCAATAATTCTTACTCGAGAAACTCCTTTCTCGACAAAATATTCAATCTCACTTATTCCGATGTTTCTTTATCTTCTTACCTTAAAAGTGGCTTGAACTTTGACGAAATACTACGGCTATTACAATATTTAGTACAAAAATTAACCGATCAGGACACAAATCTCTACGACTGTCTTGTACAGCAACCAACGGATAAACAATTATACGAATGGTCTAGCCTTTTATTAGAATCTCACTATCAACATTACGTATTGTCACGAGATCCAGAAGTGTCGATGCTTCTCAATGAACTTAACTGTGCCTTAGATGATCATGTACGTATATGTATATGTATATATGTCAACTTGTGTAAAATTGCCTTTATAACTTTACAACTTTACTAGTTCCACTTCCATTTCCATTTCCATTTCCATTTCCATTTCCATTTCCATTTCATCGATTACTGCGATTTTTGTTTTAGATACAACTACTAAAAGACATGGGAAACTTAAGGCCTCTTTTAAAAAGGATCATTAATGGCAAATCGTTGAAATTGATACAAAAAGATCGTAATAAATTTTATGCGATAGAGGAAATAAAACTTTATTAACATGCATTGCAGTATACGTGAAATATTTCAATCCTTCGCCCAAACGGAAATTAAAGAGACTTCTATCATTTGATCTTTCCGAGTATCGTTTTTATTCGAAATAAAAGGAAATCGCGTAGAAACACGAATTACGAATAAAACCTGTTTCCTTTAATATCCTTGTGTCTTATCGTGTGTCAAGATAGCTATTAGTGAAAGTGAAAAGAGGTACTCCTTTTGATCTATTCGAAACAAATAATGCATCAACTTCATTACCCTTTTCTAACAAGTAAACCAAAATAATACTTTCTTTTATCTGCGCATAGGTCTGTCTAGGTTCTTCTATCCTAGCTAAATTGTGTTTATCGGATAGACTTTTTTCTATAATCGCATTCGCAACAAACATCCAACATTTCGAGAAGACTTTTATTTTTATTCCTTTTTATCTACAGGACGCTTTCGTTCATTGCGATGAAACACGCGCGGTATCAGAATCTGTTGCAACGATCTACGTCGATAACGCGTGGCATGTGTTTCAAGTTACCGTTGTCCACTTCTCAAAGAGAACAAATGTTCAATCTATTTCAGTTGATCGATATACGGAACAGTACTCAAGTCACCGATAGCAGCCATGCTTAACTTTCCATTCCTTAGTTTATCGGCAACCTACAACGTATTTTTATGATTAATACATCAGGTCAAGATGAACAGAACAAAGAACGTACTGTAATCGGTAAACTGAAAAGTTGTTGGTTCACATACAGATTTAACGTCGGACGTAGACACCTTTTCGATATCGGCAACTAGCGATCCCGGTGAAGAGACTCGACCTTTAAGTAACGCTTGATATTGTAAACTCTCCAACAGGGCAGTTCCACAGTCCACTTCATTCAAAACTTCACCCTTCAGTATAGCCTTACCGCGAGCGACATCACTGTCTGACATATTCAAAGTTTTTAACCATTTGCAAGCAGCTGTTGTTAACTGAAATGTAATTAAGAAAGACGTTTAAATGCAGCCAAACTACATATTTCAGATTCTCTAGTAGCTACTCACAGATCCCGCTAAATTGGGTGCCGAGCATAAAATGAAACCAAATAACCCTGAGTCAGAGTAACTAGCATTAAAAGTCGACACAGCGAATGGATCTGAGCCTGCAGTGTTCGACACATGTTTCTGCAGTGAACCTGCACTCTGTCCCCATTTAACGTATGTTCCAGTGCCAGAAGCCCTTTGCAATACAGCACACGCTAGAGCGTCTTTGTCACTTTTCAAACTTGCACCTTCGACGGCAATTGCGACGCTGGTCAAATGAGTGGCTTTTTCCTTACGAATTTCGCCACCGTGATAACGCGACGGTTCAACCGCGTTATCCCCTGTGCCAATCTCCAAATTGTTTGCAAATGCGGTAAGCTCTGACAATGAAACACCAGTTCCAACAACTGCGCATTTGGGCCCAGTGAACCATGTATTGACAAAATGCTGTAACTGTATGCAAAAGAAACAGCAGTAGTTAAAGAGTAGGAATAATTTCCTGGCTGCAAAATTAATTTCAAGGAAGAAGAAACAAATTTACGGTTTCAGTTCCAATTTTCCCTAACTGATGCTTTGGAGAAAACAAGGAATATCCTAAACCCGTACGGTACGCGGCTTTGTGCAACAGTTCTAAAATCAAGGTCGTTTCCGGTAAAGAAGATAACTCGTACTCCAACCTAGGTAATTCGTCGGATATTTCCCATGGTTTGAAAACTTGCTTGGTAGCAACATGCTTCAAGAATTCAAGAGCATCCGGTCTACAAGAAAACTGTAGCTTTAGTCTACATTAAAAATGTGTATGCCGAACAATTAGGAAATTTTATTATTTACAAATTATTCCTAGTGATCTGTAACGTGTACGCGATGCTTTCACGATCTACGATCGCGGTTAAATTGCCACCCAGCTGTTGAATGTTCCTTGTTATGGCGAAACCACTCGAATAAGACGTACTTAATCCAGCAGCTATCCGCAAATGATGGGCCACACCTTGCGTGTCGTAAGATTCGTTTCGTGATCCAGCTCTAAGAGAAACAAAAGTAGATGAAACGAAAATCTCATTCGGATCTATTCGAATATTGGTTTTGTATTTTGAATACCTGAAAACTATCGACACCTGTGCAATCGCTGAATTATTGTCACAAGTAGCGACAGTGACTTTATTACTTAAAATTTGACATTCAGGAGCAGTTGCAACAGAAGTCTGGGCTGCCGCTGCAGCGACATAATGCCTGACCTGCTTCAAGATATAAAGAGATTTAGAAAATTAAATGACTACTCGTCCTTGATGCCTCTCTATCGTAACAGATGATGGACGGCTACAAATGAACAGATACGATAAGAACATAATGGTTGGTGTGGTCTAATACTGGTAATCCATAAGACAGAGCATGATACTCGGAATAATATTAAATCGTTTACATAACAGCCGTAAGCATCGTTATATCGTGTACGAGTTGAAACTAATCTCTGCCCTTCTTTAAACAAAGAGTAGAGATAATAATAAAATAGTCCTTACCGTCGAATGTCGTAACAAGGATGATCGCACGACCGAACAAGCCATTTTCTCAGTCACCGCTGAGTCGAGGAGCTTTTCCGTCGAAGTAAAACACACGGAATGGTACAAATTTTCACAACTTTATGTTCGCAGCCTACAGATGGCGAACAGATCTCCGTCAATATAAAATAGAAAAGAACAAGTAGTTCCCCTATAGACCGCAATGTCGTTGAACTCTGTGTCACATCCAGTAACGCGGCGGCGGCGGCGAAATTTGTAATTTCAAATCGCGCAAAGGAGAAAGGAAAATGGGAAAACAAAGAAAGTTACATATATTGCTACACAAATCATAGGACTCGTATTATTTTCCTTTTTTATTCTATTTAATTTGTTTATAATGTTGATAAAGTTGATACAAATATGTTTCGTGCTATATTTGTACTCGTGAACATTGTAAGTTGAAGCTTTTCTTCCTTATTATAATTAACGATGGTACGCTATAGGTAAATAAGGACAAAAGTTGATAATCACTTTATAATCATTCTTACAATTTCTTTTTCGCAATAACAAGTATCTGAGCAAACCTATACGTAAGTGGTTCAAAATACGGAATGAAGTGTTTTATAGAATAAGGGAGAAAGAAGTAAGTAAATGAAAATACAAAGAGTAGATTTTTGAATGTAACGAAAACACTGTTAAACTCGTTGAATCGCTAAAGTCGAATCACTCACGCACGCGCATACTTTGCTTACTTGTACTTACGCTTACACGTATCAACATATATACATACATACATACATACATCGTACATTCGTGCAGACATACATACGTACATACATACATTCGTGCATTTATGTACCTAGGTATCGTAAATATTACAAACATATTCAGATAATAGAAAATAATCGCCCAGTTTGAAAGTACGTGTACAGTGGTTTATTGTAATCAACGTTTCATCAATTTGGCACAAAAGTTCTATGATTTTGTAATCTTTGGTTCCGAAAAACCCTTAGCAAGTAATACTCGACAAGTTGGAAGATACTCACTCGCTTCTCATTAAGAATATTGCAACTGAGATACAGTCTTATTTTATTCATTTTCCTGCTGACTCATAAAAAACTCCTAACTTTTCTCTACTGTGTAAACATGAAATGTCGTGAACAAATTTCCTATGCTTTGTACAATAATGTGTAACTCATTTGCAGTCCCCATGACACCATCCGCGTATCTATGGATAACAGTGCGGGCGCG